TTTGCTCAGACAACACTCTCATTGACTGCCTCAGAACTTCTGTCTGAGGAAGGATGCAGGATTTGGCCCAGAAGTTAAAAAAAAAGCCTTCTTAACTTTCAAATGTAGATGATTAATGTCCCAGGAACAGTGGGCAGAGGTTTGGCACACTGTACAAAGCTGACTTAAAGCTGAAATTTTCCTGCCCTTTCTTAGTCTCTTTGCTGACACAGGCTTTGAAAGCCACAGGTCTGAGATGCTGCACTGTATCCAACATGGAAACACCTCACCTGCACAGAAGAGACCATGCAAAGGCCTGAGCCTAAGGTTTTTCACAAGCTGCAGACTTCTGCAAATCTGCAAAGGTTTTTGTTTCTGAGTTTTGCATGCCACTTAACTCAAATCCTGCAACCCTCCTTCCTGAGATTAGTCTCTTCATTACAGCTCATATTCAGAGACACACAGCTCCTCTTTCTGAAAGCCTGCCATGCACAGGCTGTCCTCCCCCAAAAACCATTCCCTTACAGGCTCTCACACAAGAAGAGATATCCTGCGCCAAAACAGTGGCACATACAGCCTCTGAGAAGTGAGTGTAACAGAAGGAAGCAGCTGTGCATCTGTGACTCTGAACAGGCTGGAAGAAGAAGAAACGAAGGGCACACTGAAGCCAAGGAAATAATGCTTGGTTCTCTTTTCAGCAACAGCATGGCATGCTCTGCACCCAGCTCTGTAGCCACTGCCCTCTCCCACTCCTCCAGGAGCAATTCCCTGGCTTGGAGCACAGCACGTTCAGGCAAAGGGTCAATCCCTGAGAACACATCTCCAAACTGTGAAGCAGTGTGTGAAGAGACAGAGGAAGTATGGAGGGTGCAAAGCAATACAGACTGAGATAGGTTCAGAGTAGAAAATCAACATGATCCCAGCGAGCACAAGAAGAGCCATCTCCATTGGGCTCATGGATAAATGGGATCATAGGATCACAGAATGTTAAGGGGTTGGAATGGACTTTGAAAATGGTCTAGTGCCAACCCTCCCTGCCATGGGCAGGGACAACTCCTACTAGACCTCAAGGCCTTATCCAAACTGGCTTTGAACACTTCCATGTGGAAAGATCACAGAATTGTTAGGGTTGGAAGAGACCTCTGAAGACCATCTAGTCCAATCACCCTGCCAAGGCAGGGTCACCTGAATCAGGCTATACAGGAACATGCCCAGGTGGGTTTTGAATGTCTCCAGAGAGGGAGATTCCACGACCTCCCTGGGCAGCCTGTTCCAGGGCTCTGCCACCCTCAATGGAAAGAGGTTCTTCCTCACACTGCATGGAACTTCTTGTGGTTTAGTTTATAGCCACTGCTCCTTGTCCTGTCACTGGACATCACTGCAAAGAGTCTGGCACCATCCTCTTGACACCCACCTCAGAGATAATTGTAAGTATTGATGAGATCACCTCTCAGTCTTGTCTGCTCTAGACTAAACAGGCCCAGCTCCCGCAGTCTCTCCTTGTAAGGGAGAAGCAATAAGCATCACTTTTGCCCAGCTATACTGCAAGGACAAAGGCTTCAAATGCAGCCTCTTAGTGCCTTTAAAATTCAGAAGACTCCTGCAGGAGATTTTAGCTTGCACGGAGAGCCACCAGCCTGAGACGAAAACAAATGACATCATGAGAGATGAGGCTATGCCAGTGCACAGTGTCAATGGGCAACTGCCCATGCACATTATGGGCAATTCCCAGCCAACAGATCGAGCTCTACCCCAGTAACAGTACCTTGTTTGCATGGCCATGACTCTGGCAGCACAACCAGGATCAAGCTAGGGGTGGAGGTCGCTTTCATCTCATGAAATGAGATGACATTCTTATGGAGAAGGAGACTCCTGAAACCATTGTGAGTGCAGAACAGCAAAAAGAGAAAACTTTGGATTTGGGGAACGAGCCTCTGTCTTGCTCAGCAGCCATATGTTCAGATGGGACCAAGGGTGAAGAGGGATACATTCCAGTTTCAGTCATGCTCATGTGAATCATTAATCACCACAAGGACTGGGGAGAGGCTGTGTGTTTGTATCCCTGCAGCTTGTTTCAGGAACTGGGCTCAAAATAAAGGCAGAGAAACTGAGAGAGTGCCAAAATGATCACACATGACTGAAAGGGATACACAGAAGAATGGAGTGTCATCTCCTTTTGCAGACCTTGCAAATGGAAAGGAGAATGGGGATGAGTATCAAAGTGATCCTACACATCCAACACAACACCCAGAAACTGTTAATGGTTGCTTCCCTCTCCGTTGGCTGACACAAAGTGTTGCAGGGCTGAGATCACACATGGCTCTGTGCAGGCAGGGAACACTTGGGACTTTTTGGTATAGTATTTTTGCTGGGAAATTAAAATGGAGCATTTGGTGAAGAAGAACTCAGGCTAGAGGAAAAAAGGTTCAAAACACGCCAGATTTTGCATGATAAGCTAAAGAAAAAGAAAAAGTACTTGAAAGCAGAGAAAGCTGTGGTGAGATGAATCAGGAAATAAAAAGAGACTCACTGCTGTGCTCCAGACCAGAACTGTTAGCCAGGCAGCGAGGTCAGGTCTGGGAACTGTAAAGAGTCAAAAGCAGGCTAAAAACATGCATGGAGGGAGCAAGGGAAGAGCAAACCACATGTCAAAGGAGGTCATATTGCTGAAAGAAGGCAAATGGGGAAATGAAACACCAGGCTTAACCCGAGCTGGCAGAGAGCAGCAGCTTTGAGGGAGAAAGAGAAAGAAGAAACACAGCGACCGGTGAGAGCTCTGCACCAAACAGGACAAGAAAAGGAAATGACAACTGGATCTGGAAGGAAGTCTGATGAGAAGGGGCTTTTCTTCAAAGAGTTGCAGTGAAAGGGAAATACAGTAGTGACAACAACATTTCTATAATGGAAATGGGGGTAGCAGTTTGCTAGTAAACTGGGAATGCAGGAGTGAGGGGTTTGGTAAGATCTCTGCTTTCAGAACAGCAAAGTGTTGTGGGTCCTCCTCAAAACTGAATGCCAGCTCAGTGGTCTGTGGAAAATGGGATGAGAAGAAAACCTACGGCCAGCACCATGGTGTGCTGACTTTTGGGAACCTCTCTATGCTGTCCATTCTGTCTTTCATTTGTAAGGAAAGAAACTCCTGACTTGTTGCCTCTCTAAACTCTAATAAAAGACTTCATATACTGGAAAGATGTAACATAAGCAGCAGATCACATGGGGGAAATGTATGAGAGAACTGCATGACTGGGCTTAAGGGCTGGAAAGGGGATACTGCTTTGAATCTCAGTAAAAGGACTTCTAAAGCATGGAGCTAACCATCAAAGAATTCATGGAGTGGAAAGAAGCCATGGGCTTTGGAGAATCCTTCATGGCCTACAGTCATGCAATGGTTTGGTTGCATAGAAAGCTTCAGGAGTAAAGGATTACAAACCAGAATCTGAAAATTAATTCGCAGTGAAATTCTAGGGCACTCCAGGAAAATGTCCTCTTGGATAAACCAAACCAAATCACTATTGTAGGAAGTGAAAGCAACAGAACAGAGGGAAGATTGGTCTGGTTTGGAAGACCACATGCAGGTATGTAGGAGGTTGATGGTTGATGGTGTTGTGAGGATCCAGAGAAATGTCCATGGGAAAGACCATCTTTTTCAGAACAGAAAAGGCAGTGGGAATGAATCCTGAGTAAGGACAGACAGCAAAGAAACAAGGCAGAGCTGATCTAACAGATTAATCCTGAAGTTAAAAGCTAATTAGTCCAATATGGCTGATAAATTACCAAGAGGTAATTTATCAGCCATATTGGGCTAATATATTGCAGTTTTTGAGCAATATTTCTATTGAGTCCTGTGGTCTTTGGTCTGCAAAGGATCATGCAGCACCAGGCAAAGAAGGGAAAGCACGAGCATCATACTAAGGCTAACACAGCCCACATACAATTCTCTAAAACAGGTCAACTGAGGTATCAAAAAACTGGCTGATGTTGTAAAAGCAGCCACTACATCTCAAATATGGAGGTGTAGGAACAGCAGGAAACATTCAAACCTCAAAGCTGCACCCAGTCTTCCTTTCTCCTCTGCAAACACACAGGTGGAACAGCTGCTATCACAAAGGACCAAGTATGTCAAACTAGTGAATTCAAACACTGAGCCATACCCTGCATGATAATAACTCTGGAAAACACTGCATGCTGTTTATCTGTTCCAGGTCTAGCTTCTAAAAAGTGGTCTAATCGTTAATCATTTGGATGAAAATTAGGGTACACCTATTTTCTCTAAGTCACTAAGAAAAAAAGAGCCCAAACAACAAAAGAACAACAACTAGTGTTTTGCAGACAGGTATAAATTAAAATCTCTCTCTTCCACAGAAACAATTATTCTCACCTAAATCTTCAGAAACTGTACTCAGCTGTAAGACAAAAATGGGAGTGCAATGGTGCCCTACGAAACAGACTAATTTCACTGCTTTCTTGGGGTGAAGTTAGAGAAAACCCAAATGATTTCTAAAAATAAAGTCACTATCTTCTATATTATCGTTCCCTAAGCTGTGGCAGTATCACATCAATGTTAAAATACAATACAATTTTTACCTTTTATCTGGACAGAGTCCAGTAAATGAAAAATGATGCGTACGTTGATGCATTAGCCCAACACATTTTTGGTGAAGGTGCCTTAGCAGCTTCTAGAATCTTGACTGTCCCACATCTGTCCTTACAAATGATCTGAGGCACTTTAAAAAGAAAGTGAATGGTTAAACCAGAAACTAGTATGGCCTAATCCAGTCTTACAGACTTCACTGCAGAAGTACCACAGGTGTTGGCAGGAGCAGGACTGCAACTGCACTGCAGCTCCCTAGTGCAGGAATTCTGCTTATACAGCCTTTGCAAACAGCCCCATGGGATTCAGCAGCTCTTCTCACACCATGGAAGGATGGAAGGGATAAAAAGCCTTTGGTACTACCAGCAACAAATTTGCCCTTTCAGCCTCACAGCAAGCAGCAGGCACACCCAGAGCACCTCAGCCTTACCTGTGGCACAAAGGGCAATGAACGTCTGTGCATGCTTCCGGATCAAAAGCAACTTGTCTTTAGGTAGAGGCAGCTTCCTTAGGATGTGTTCAATGAAATCGTGTGGGGTGACAGCTGCAAGGTTCCACTTCAATTTCCCCAGCACCACCAGCTCCCATTCCTGCAGGGGGGGACGAGGAGGGGAGAAGAGAAGAGAAGCCATAAGCAAGCCTGACAAAAACTCTACTTGGCTTATTTCTCTGATTATAACTTTATCACTGCTAAACTGCTCTTGCTCAAACCTTTTTTTTCCATATGCCCCTACTGCTTTGAAGTTGTTGACTTTATATTCTTTTTTTTTTTTTAACACCAGAAATGTCAAGCTCTACTGAAAATAATGAGACCTGGCAGCTCCTGCCAAGGTTTTACTTTTTTTTTTTTTATCCAGTGCTGAATGCCCACCCAGAAAGTTTAGCCTGCAATTAGGTATTGCCAAGGTCACTGTGGTCCTTTCCTAGTAACTTCTTTTAAATGGCTATAGTCCTTACTTTATAGCCATTTAAAGCCCTAGGGATAGCCATGCACAAAAATAACCTAGATGTAAATTCCTTGTTTTCAAAACTAGGGAAGTTCACTCCATGGTATTCCCTCCCAAAACTGTATTCAAAAGGTCCCACAGATAAATCTGATGGTGCTTAAACTACTCCAAGACAGGCTTTACAGAAAGGAAATGCATGCAACACAGCCAAGAAGTAGCCTGTGTAAATCATCTGCCAGTAAATCATGTAGGATCTATTCCCACATTCTTTGCACGCCCAAAACTCCCAGTGAAATCAAAGGAAAACTTGGGTGTGTGTGTAACTACTGGCCACTCCCTGTGCTGGGATTCCATGTAGGAATGGTACCCAGTCACCAGATCCAGCCATGGGGTTCAAGCAGGGCTAGACCTGCATGTCTCAATGTTTAAACCAAGTTTTGAACCCCTCACAGTGCCCCAGAGAGTGAACAAAGCTCAGGCCTGCGACTCGTTTTTGTCTCATCCATCAACTATTAGCTATTAACTAAATTCCACGCGCTGATTCTTGCGTCCTGACGATGCGTGGGCCTGGAGGAGCCCAGCGTGGTGGGGAGCCCCAGCTGAGCTCGGAGAGCTTGGCAAGTTGGAATAAAGTCCTTTAATTTTGCAGCCGAGGAGACGTCAACCAGCGTTGCTGAGAAACCATAAACATGGACCCCACAATGCCATTTCTGCAGTCGCTTCTCTGAATTGATGCCCACTTAAACTGCGAGTTACTTTCCTACGGACATTCCTACTGGATTATGACAGAGCCCTCCATAGCCTGAAAAGTCTCACATTCACATATATGCAAAAGGCTGCAGAAACAACACAGGGGTTTTTTTCTTTCTCAAGAAAACCTGTAAAATGTTTGAAGATAAATGAAATTACACTAACTATGGATTGATCTTCCCCATATTACTGACGTGACAGGCCTGGATATAGAAGAGCAGTGAATCTAAAGGACTGAATACAGGGAAGTACTTGAAACACATGCTTAAATCCACGTGGCACAAAAAGGTAGGGACATCATTCCATGTCTTCTTGCATGGGGAGCACAGCACTGCTAGTTCAACCACCAACAGGACACCTAATGTCTGTGACAGCCACAGCAGGGTTTGCACGTCAAGGCTATTCACTCTGTGGAATCATGAGCTCCCAAGCCCTCCCCGGGGGAATTCCCAGTGATTCATAGGAGAAATTCTCCCGGGATTCGCGTGGCTATGCTCATTTCTCTGACCAAGCATCCCTGTCACAGAGGGGCTCTGGTGCATGCCCAACACTCCACAGCACCACGTGCCTTGCCAATGTTAGCCATTCCCTTCAATATCACTTTGCTTCTGCCTTCACAGACTCACGGAATCATTAAGGTTGGAAAAGACCTCTGAGATCATTGAATCCAACCCATGATCTAACAGCACCATGTCAACCAGACCATGGCATTAAGTGCTATGTCCGGTCTTTCCTTATACACCTCCACCATCTCCCTGGGCAGCACATTCCAGTCTCTAATCACTCTTTCTGCAAAGAAATTCTTCCTAATGTCCAACCTAAACTTCCACTGGTGCAGCCTAAGACTTAAGACTTTCACCATGTGTGAACTTAGCCCCATCTGGAGAACCAGCAGACCACGCACCTTAACCAAGCCACATCTCACCTGCTCTGGTGCTAATCTGCAGGAAACCGCAACGGCAAAGGGCACAGAAGCCACGAGCTCATGGCTCACCACCTTACCAACCTAACCATCCCCTGGTGTAGCCTAAGACTTAAGTCTTTCACTGTGTGCAAACTGAGCCCTGTCTGGAGAACCAGCAGACCGCGCAGCTTAACCAAGCAGCATCTCACCTGCTCTGGTGCTAGCCTGCGGGGAAGCGCGACGGCGAGGGGCACAGGAGCCAGGCAAGATGCAGCCGCTGTGTTTCGCTGGGTACAGCGTGGGGCAGAGCGGGGCAGAGTGGGGCAGAGCGGGTACAGCGCGGGGCA